GGCTGCCCCAGTCTGCATTCCCACCAACAGTGCACTAGGGCTCCCTTTTCTCTACCTCCTCGCCAGGACTTGTTTGTTGATTTATTAATGATAGCCATTCTGACGGATATGATATCTCATTGTGGTTTTAATTTGTATCTCTCTGATGGCTGGTGATGTTGGGCATCTTTTCATATATTTGTGGGCCCTCCGTATGTCCTCCTTGGAGAAGTGTCTATTCATGACCTTTGCCCATTTTTTAGTTGGATTGTTTGTCTTCCTGGTGTTGAGTTCTTTGTATGTTTTGGAGCTTAAACCCTTATCCATTGTTTTGTTGGCAAATATTGTTTCCCATATGGTTGGTTCCCTTCATTTTGGTGATGGTTTCTATAGCCATGCAGAAGCTTTTTAACTGGATGTAGTACCATTTGTTTATTTTTTTTCTTTATTTCCCTTGCCCTAGGAGATATATTGGCAAAAATATTGCTACGTAGGATATCTGAAATTTTACTGCCTATGTTTTCCACTAGGACTTTTATGGTATCATAACTTATATTTAAGTGTTTTATCCATTTTGAGTTTATTTTGTTGTGTGGTGTAAGTTGGTGGTCTAATTTCATTTTTTCATATGTACCAGTCCAGTTCTCCTAACACCATTTATTAAGGAGACTATTTTTACTCCATTGAATGCTCATGCTCCCTTTGTCAAATATTAATTGATCACAGAGACATGGGTTTATTTCTGAGCTCTCTATTCTGTTCCATTGATCTATGTGTCTGTTCTTATGCCAGTACCAGACTGTTTTGATTACAGTGCCCTTGTTAGTTTTATATCAGGTATACTGATCCCTCCAACTTATTTTTCTCAAGATTACTGAGGCTATTTGAGGTCTTTCTTGCTTCCATATAAATTTTTGAAGTGTTTGCTCTAGATCAATGAAATATGCAATTGGTATTTCAATGCATAGGGATTACACTGAATTTATAGATTGCTTTGCGTAGCATGGACATTTTAATGATGTTAATTCTTCTAATTCATATATAGGGTATATGCTTCCATTTATTTGTATCTTCCTCAGTTTCTTTCTTCAGTATTCTATAGTTTTCTGAGTACAGGTGTTTTACCTCCTTGGTTAAATTTATTCCTAGGTACTTAATTTTTCTTATTGCTATGGGATTTTTAGCTATGGAATTTAACAATCCCATTGTTAAATGGGATTTTTCCCCCTTAGTTTCTATTTCTGATAGTTCGTTGTTGGTATACATAAATCCCATCAATTTCTGAATATTGACTTTATATCCCTCTACTTTGCCAAATTCACTTATTAGGTGGAGTAGTTTTTTGGTGGAGTCTGTAGGGTTTTCTATGTACACTATTATGTCACCTGCAAACAATGACGTTTTACTTCCTTCTTTCCAATTTGGGTACCTTTCTTTTTTCTTTCTCCTGTCTGATCTCTGTAGCTAGAACTTCTAGTACTGTGTTGAATAAGAGTGGTGAAAGTAGACACCCTTGTCTTGTTCCTGATCTTAAAGGGAAAAGCTTTTAGTTTTTGCCTGTTGAGTATGATGCCTTTATTATGTTGAGGAATGCTCCCTCTATTCCCATTTTGCTGAGTGTTTTTATCATAAATGGGTGCTGGATTTTATCAAATGCTTTTTCAGTATCTATTGATATGATCATGTGGTTTTTGTCTCTCATTTTGTTTATGTGGTATATTTATGTTTTTATTTTTAAGATTTCATTTATTTATTTTTAGAGAAGGGAAGGAAGAGAGACAGGGAGAGAAACATCAGTGTGTGGTTGCCTCTTGAGCAATGCCCCGCCTAGAGATCCAGCCCAAAACCTAGGCATGTGTCTTGATTGGGAGTTGAACCAGTGACCCTTTGGTTCTCAGGCCAGCACTCAATCCACAGAGCTAGGCCAGTCAGGGCTGTATTATGTTTACTGATTTGCGAATATTATACCATCCTTGCATTCCTGTGATAAATCCTACTTGATCATAGTGTAGGATCTTTTTAATGTATTCCTTGATACAGATTGACAGTATTTTGTGGAGGATTTTAGCATCTACGTTAATTATAGATGCTAAAATAAGTATTGGCCTGTGATTGTCTTTCTTTGTGTCTTTAGTTGGTTTTGGAGTTAGGATAATACTGGCCTCATAAAAAGAGTTTGGGAGTCTTCCCTCTTCTTGAATTTTTTGGAATAGTTTGAGAAGAATAGGAGTTAGTTTTTCTTTGAACGTTTGGTAAAATTTACCTGTGAAGCCATCTGGCCCAGGGCTTTTGTGTGCCAGGACTTTTTTGATTATGGCTTCAGTTTCACAAGCTGTTTACTGGTGTGTTCAGGCTTTTGTATTCTTCTTAATTCACTTTTGGAAGATTGTATATTTCTAGAAATTTATCCATTTCACCAAGGTTGTCCAATTTCTTGGCATATAGTTGTTCATAGTAATTTCTTACAATCCTTAGTGTTTCTGTAGTATCAGTTGTTATTTTTTCTTTTTGGTTTCTGATTTTATCTATTTGAGTCATCTCTCTTTTTTTATTGCTGATTTTTGTTAAAGGTTTGTCAATTTTGTTTAACTTTTCAAAGAACCAGCTCCTGGATTCATTGATCTTTTGAATTTTTTTTATTCTACATTATTTAATCCTGCTCTGATCTTGATCATTTCCTTCCTTCTGCTTACTCTGGGCTTTGTTGTTGTTCCTCTAGTTCTTTTAGACGTAGTGTTTGTTTATTTGAGATTTTTTTAGTCTTCTTTAGGTGGGCCTGTATTAATATAAATTTCCCTCTCAGGACTGCCGTTGCTGTGTCCCATAGGTTTGGGGTTGTTGTGTGTTCATTTTCATTTGTTTCTAGTACTTTTTGATTTCTTCCTCAAATTTACTGTTAACCCATTCATTATTTAATAATACATTCTTCAGTTTCCATTTATTTGAATGCTTTTGAGTTTTTTCCTTGAGGTCGGTTTCTAGTTTCAAGCCATTGTGATCTGGGAAGGTGCTTGATAATTATTTCAATTTTTTTGAATTTATTGAGGCTTGTTTTGTGTCCTACCATGTGGTCTCCCTTTGAAAATGATCCATGTGCATTTGGAAAAAAATGTATATTTTGCTTCTTTGAGGTGAAATGCTACATCATAATAAACTAATGTGTTTATAATGCTAAATCATAATATACTATTTATAGCATCATGTATAATATAATACAATATATTTTAGGCTGTTTACAGCTTTTTCTATTCATGATGTCTTGAACATTTCTAGATACATATTGGTCCACTTCTTTTTGGTGTTTTCTGTAGGATAACTTCCTACAAGTGGTGTTGCCGAGTCAGAGAGCTATGAGCCGTTCCACCAACAGGCTGCCCTCGCCAGGACTCTGCTCTGGGGCGCTGCCATGCCTCCTCACTTCTGCCTGGTCTCCTGCATGAGAATGCTTTTTGTTTTATTTTAGCTGTGTCTCAGTAGAGATGCGGCACTGCTGCTGAACATCCTCCAGCCTTTTCTGACCTGGGTGTGGCTTGTTCATTCCTGTGCCATTGTTTTTTTATGTTAGATTATTAATTAGATGGCTGAAGTTTTACAGAGTGGTAGTGATGTCATCAGCCAGTCTCACGTGGAATTGTTGCCTTGTTCAAAGTGTGTGCTCGTGGCTCTGACTGCTGCTAACGTCAGCCATCCTCGCAAATGCAGGAAACGTTGACGGGTTTCAATGCACAGTGTACTTCATACAACTCCTCTGAGTGATGGAAGCAAGTCAGTCGTCAAATGGGTGGCTTTGATGCATAACTGTTTGGTGCTTTTAACTGTGCCAGGAGACCTGAGTGTCTTATGATATTATATATTCAAATACGTTTCCCAGTGTTTGAGTATTCACTTTAGGCTACTGTTTTTTGTAAGAACTTTAATAGGAAAAATACAAAGAGGTGACGATGTCAGTGTTGTGGCTAAACACTGCAACATGAAACCAGAGATCAAAAAATCTGAATTAGCAAAAGCCAAATCAGTTTTAATAGTCAAGCCAAACTAAAGGCAAGCTGAGTATTTTCATTGTTGAAGCTGGAAATAGGCTTCCATGAAGCTCCTGTACCCTGATATCCCTTCGAAGGGGCTTTTGAAAATGATCTGGATGTTCTGACCAGTGTCAGCAAAATACGACTGAGACTGTTGGACACGGCAGCTCGTGCTTTGTGGGGTTTCACGTTTCATTTTCAGGATTATAACTTAATTAAATATGTGTGGAGTTATCGCTTAATGTTTTATTTGTTTATCATACATTTTGTTCTCTTTTAATGTTTTCTATCAAGTGTATCAGCTAGAGATCATTTTTATATTCTCTTGCAGTATATAATCTTACACTGGTTCATCATAATAAGCAACCGTGTGCTGATCATATATAGAGGGTGGGACAAAAATAGGTTTACAGTTGTTTATATGGAAAATAATACAATTAATAAATAATAATACAAGATGAACTCTGTTTCTCATATTCACAACTGTAAACCTGTTTTTTACCTCAACCTATATATAATTTTTTTAGCATAAAACTTCTGAAACTTTCAGTATAATCTTTTCAGAGACCAGCGCTTTTCTGTGTATTACGATGGTGATTCATTATTGTAAAACACAGGAAGTATTATGAAAAATATATAGAAGCTGATGATTTGGGGAATTCCCAAGACTTCCGATTCCTCGTTTCTGAATCCTGAGGATTAGTATCCATTGGAAATTTGGAGGTGCCAGGCTGAGGCTGTCCTTCAAGGGCTAGCCTGGGACCCAGTGCTGTGTCTGATGTTGCCCGTGGGCTTATGTTTCCAGAGTTACCTGGGCCCTGCCTTACAGAGGGACTCTTATCAGTCCATTTGGGTCTTTTCTGTTTATTTTAGACAATTATTATTTTCTACCTATTTGTTGATAAGCTTATGTTGAAATTGATCAAGGAACAGCTTGGTTTTCTTTTAACTCTGAGAGGCGATGGCCTTGTTGCTGAACATTGCTTTCTTTTCTCGCAGGGCATTTTAGAAGCTTCAAAGGCCAGAGCCATCCCCATCGTCATTGATGCAGTGAGTGTGGCCTTTCCTCTCCCGTCCCCTCCTCCCAGCCAGGTGCCCAAGGCCATACAGTAAATGGGAGTCCTTGTTCTGTGCAGGATGGGCTGTGGCTGATCGCTCAGCAGCCGACCCTCATCCAAGGCTACCAGAAAGCCGTTCTCACACCCAACCAAATGGAGTTCATCAGACTCTGTGAAGCTGTGGTGAGTTTGTTGACCACCTCAAAGACAGGGTGCGAGCCCTCCGTAACCTGAGGGGGGGGCGAGGGACACACTCTGAGGTTATGTACCCACTGGTCCCTGCAGGTGCATCTGCAGGGACAGACTTGGAGATGTTGAGTGGATACATGCATATTCTATGATGCATTTTCACATGCTGACAGTGTTTTCCCCCCCTTGGTGGCACATGTAATGATGGGGCATCTTCCAGTCAGTGCATCTTTGATTGGATGAAAGGCAGGGTGGCGGGCACAGGTCACTCCGATCCCCATGCTGTGTACTCTCTGCAGATGACTCCATCCTTATCTTGCCTTACCTCATCTGAAATGCGGAGAATGGTAACATCTGCCTCATAGGGCATGTGAGGATGAAATGGAATAATACGTGAGGTTTGTCTAGAAGGTATCCAGGCATAGAATATGAAAAAAGACATTTATTGAAGATAATACAAGATACAAGAAAAACTATACATAGGACAATGATGCCTTAGTCCCTTCAAAGTCTGCACCTTGGGACCTCACACATTAGCTGCCCCATCATATTTTCTTGAATCTCATTGATGATCTGAAATCTCTTCCCTTTCAAAGGTGATTTTAATTTTGTGAAAAACCAGAAGTCATAGGGTGCCAAATGCCAAATCTGGGCCATAGAGGGGCTGAGTCACCTGGGTGATTTGATGTTTTGCCAAAAAACTGCATGGGATATGATGCATGAGTGGACATGCTGTCTTGATGAAGCTGCCAGTCACCCGTTGCCCATAGCTGCAGCTTCTGAATCATGCGAATAGTTTTCACGGAGGAATGTTCAAGCTTCATGCAATATTTGATGCAGATTCATTGCTCTACTCAGTCATTTGAATGGGACAGCCACACAATGCCCATGCTCACTCAACAATGTCTACCAGCCCCACTGACTAGTACAGTGAGGTTTTCATTGTTCACACATGCACATTCCAGTCCGCTGTCCTTGGCTGCCAGGTTACATCAATTTCATGCAAATCATTCTTGTTATAGTAACAGTGGCTGGAGTTTTTCCAGACAGACCTCATATGTAAATTCATGAGTCTGTACATTATCAAGTGCCCCATAAATGTAAGTGTATTATCATTCAAAGTTGAATCCCTCTGCAAACCTTTAAAATCCCCGCCATGAGCAGTGTTCTGTACCATTGGCCTAACAAGGTAGGGGATGGGCACCAGAGCATTTCTGCCTCTAGCCCGTGTCGGCATTCACCTGGAGGACTTTCTGCCTGTGAGATCATGGGTCTCTTTCCAGATGGTGGATGGAACACGTGTTTTTGTGTGTGTGGCCGTCTCGTGCCTGGGGGAGTCCCTTAGATATGAGAGGCTGAGGATGAGGATGGATGGGGCAGGATGTTTGTTGTTATCCACGTTTGTGGGCTTTTTTCAGGTGTCTTTGACAGCTTTGTTTGTGGTCCTGCATTGTAGCTGAGGGACCCTGTGGATGGCAGTGATCGCCGTGGAGCTGTGCTGAGACTCAGCCAGGCCCTGGGGAATGTGACTGTGGTCCAGAAAGGGGAGCAGGACGTGATCTCTGATGGCAAACAGGGTGAGTGGCTTTGGGCTTCACCGGGTGTGGCCATGCTGGGTACAAGCCTTAGGAAAACCTCATTCACACACAGTACAGGTGCGCAATGTGTCACGTGTTTGCACATCACATGTGGTCTCTCATGTCTTACATGCTCACACATATGCATCACATGTTCCACAAACAGGGACTTTCTGATGAGCTTGTTAATCACAACTTCTTCAAAGTCCATTTTTATTTCTCACTGTTTTGCAAAGGGAAGTGACAGTCATCAGTGCTGATCTTAGTTGATACCAGGTGCAGTGGCTAAAGTTGTGTTGATGATTGTATAAGAAGCAGCCTAGTGGGCAGGTGGCTGGAACAGCAGGTAGTGCTCCAGAGTCCTCGACCTGCCACCTCTGTCTTGCCAGCAGCATAAATGAATTTATTTGAATATTTTACTGTGTGTTGTCCTAGTTTATGAAAACGACTCGAGTGAAGAAACCCTCAGAGCTGACGCTAGTGGGAATCACTAGATGCTGAGTGTGGCAGATCTTTTGGTCACATTCTTTCCATGGAAGCCTGTGAACTATTGAGTGAGAGCAAGACGGCCATCAGCATTTACTCATATCTGCGCAGTGCATAATCAGAGGAGTGTAACCTCTCTAGCTCCCTGAAAACGGGAAAGTCTGATCTGGAGGCAAAGTGTACACCAGTTCTTTCAACAGAGAATTTAACACAAAGAACTGTCACCTAGGTATAGAGTCGCTGGCAAGGTCACAGAAGTCAGGACCAACAGAGAACAGAAGGCACCCTTAGTCATGTCTGTCTGACTTGTCTCTTTCATGGGCTGGGCAGGAAATGGAGTGAGTGTCTCTGAGGGGTCCTGAAACCTTTGGGCTCTTTTATTGCTAGAAGGTGCTCTAGGCTCTAACATATTTGGCCTGTATAACAACCCGTTTCCAAGATAGGGTTACCAGCTGTGTGCGGACAGGGGCGCGAGCGCTGTGCATGTCTCCTTGCAGGTGGACTCTGGAGTGTGAGAGGTCCGGAGCCCGCAGGACGGAGAGCCTGTGTGCGCTGTGCGTGTTCTTCTAGCCTCTCCTAGCGATCCCACCGTGGTTCTGAGTCATAGGTCTGCTGACCACCATACTAAACAGGTTCTTCTGGGGCAGCCCAACTTCTGCCTGCCTCGGTTTCCTGTCCCTATAAAAGACAGGCTTCCTCATTAGGAACAGTTGAGGAAGACCCGTGGATGACCTGGAACAGCCCTCGCTCTAACACCCATCTCGCTTCCGCTCTGCAGTGCTCGAGTGCAGCTTGCAGGGCAGTAACCGCCGGTGTGGCGGGCAAGGAGACCTCCTGTCTGGCGCCCTGGGCGTTCTGGTGCACTGGGCTCTCCACGCCGGACCCGAGAAGACAAATGGGTATGGCCACGTCCTCATCTGTCCTGCTTTGAAATTTTTGGACTGCGTAAGCTATTTCAGTGGCCCATACTTTCCATCGGTGGCTGCTGGGAACATTCCAAATGAAATATTGGTGTTACCGGTACAGGGAGGAGATTCCAGGGCAGGGACTGATCCCAAGACGCTGCCTGGGGAGCTTTTACTCTGTACGTCTGGGCCCCGTCCCGTCACTGGATGGGCTCTGGGGTATCCCTGCCCTTTAAAGCTTTCCCGTTAACTCTGATGTGCGGCCAAGTTCGAGGGCACTGTTTTAGGAGGTTCGATGCGTACCTGCTGTAAAACAGAAAATTAAAATAAAAAATGTGCGGTCAGACATAGAGCTTACCTGAGGCAGGTGCTGTCCTGAAAGGCAGGTTTCCTTGAAGAGGCAGCGGAATTCCGAGATCTGGGCTTTGACCCATTTCCGCTGTCACCTGACAGCTTAATGAGTGAATTCCAGCAGTTCCCTCCGTCTGTGAACCCCCATTTCTCTTCTCTGCACCCTTCATGGGGATGCTGATGGCTGCACATGCCAGGGTGGGATGTCCTGGTCCTGGAGGGCCCCGCCTGACACCCTGTAAAGCAGTGTTGGGCCCGTGAGGTTGTGGCACATCTGGCAGGCAGAGAGCACCCACCCAAATGGGCCCAGGAGGTGTGTGCGTGGGAAGGGGAGCTGTGGCGGGAGTCTGGTAGTGACAGGAAGAGCCTGCGTTCTTAGATCGTGGTCAGTCCCTCACATCTAAACTGGAACCCCTAAGTACTGCTCCAGTTTTCACCAGGGGAAAACTACTGTGTTCTGCCCTTTCTCCAGATGGTAGCTCTTTCTGATATGGCTTTTGTCAGGGAATATGAGTATCAGGGGGGCTAACGGTTAATTGTAGTAAAGCCACCTTCTGCCTGCCTCAGTGGTGTATCAGATTAGAAATGGCCAGTTTGGGCTCTCAGGGTGGAAACAAGAAGGAAAACAGGGCCTTTGTTGTTTTCTGGCCCCTGATGTCTGACAAAGCCGTGGAGGGAGAGCTTCCCACCTTCCACAGCCCCTTGCTAACGCCTCTGTCCTCCAGTTTCAGCCCTCTCCTCGTGGCTGCCTTTGGTGCGTGTTCCCTCACGAGACAGTGCAACTACCAAGCCTTCCAGAAGCACGGCCGCTCCACCACCACCACCACCATGATTGCAGAGATTGGACCTGCATTCAGCAAACTCTTTGAAACTTGAGCCGCTGCAAACAGGAAGAAAGTGGGCACCGCGATGGAAGAAAATGTATTCTTTGTGGGAAGACCCACGTCCAATGTGTCTGAACCCCTGGGTACCGGAGCAGCATGACTGTTTGGGAGTCTAGGGTACATGGGTTGATGTAGAGAATTAAAAAATTTGTAATGCAGCACTTTTTGGCTAAATACGCATTTTTGAAATGTTATAATGACACTAAACAAAGTACTCCTGAACTGTTCTTAACTTCTGAACAATAATGAAAAAAATGGAGAATCGTTTGAGAATGAGGAAACCTTTAACCAGCTCTACCAAATTTGTGGGCTTGTTCCAAGATTGCAGAATTGTTGTAGTTTCTCTGAGCTTGCTTATTCTCATGCCCTCTCCCAAGGCACTTCATGTTTCTTTTACTTATGCAGGAAGTTCCTCTTATTAGACAGTTCTTTCAAAGGGATCCAGTTGGTCATGTCCGAACATCTTTTGAGAATAATGAGTTTTGCTTCTTTTTTAAGAATTGAGATACACCAAAAAATATGGCATTTGTTCTTTAGCTCACTTTTCTTGTTTAAACAGTGATTATGTTGGAAAGGTCTAGGCAGAAATACTAAGCATTGGTTATTTTGGTTATTTGGTTATAAAGTATTTAGAATAATCAGTGATCAGTTTGACCTTGGAAATCTTTTTGGAAGCACCATGGGAAGATCTGAGGAGGAAACTTGATGGACCACTGATACCTGAGTGCACACAGGTCGGGGCTCTGAAGTACTGTGTGTCTTATACTTTCATGTGCCCATGCCTGTGCACACAAGTGCATGAGGCGGCTGATGAGGCCCGGCAGAGGGTGCCTGAGCGGGAGGGATGCCCACTGGTGTGCTGTGTTGGAAGGAAGCCTGCAGGATGCTGGCTGTGGTGGTGGGCGGTGCTGGGAGGGCCCTGGGGGAACTGAACAGAGCAGAACAGTTGTCCTTGTTTGAAAATGGGTGGGTGTGTACTTAGGAAGATTTAGATTCCATTAAAGAAGTTGATACTTCTGAAGTAGTTGTAAATGAGATGTTTTATTACCTTGTTAGCCTCTGGTTCACTTTTATTTGGTCATATGGGTTTTTTTTTTTTCAGTAGCCCGAGAGTGACTTGTTTTCTGTCATTTCTCCATGGGGTGTGATTGCTAATACATGCATTCTAGTGTACAGTTCCTCCAGAAGTCTGTCTGCCCTTGATGCCCATGCTCGGACACAGCTCTGTGGCTCAGACACGTCACCCCATGGGTCCCGCTTCATTTAAACCAGTCATGAACTTTTAAGATTTCTTAAAAGATACACACCACTATTGCTTCACAGCAAACTCAGGAAGTTTTGCTGTCTACATGTGAACTTCTCCAGAAAAACTCATGACATTTTTCCTTTGGGGAATTATGTCTAAATCCTGGTGACATAAAAGGCAGACCTGGTTCATTTCAATGTAGAGCTTTACATTTTTTCCTTAAATAGCCAAAGCCCATCTTTCCAATTCTCTAAGTTGAGGATATTGTCAGGTACTAGGAAGATAAAAATGTATAAGCTTATCTAATGTGTTTTTTTTTTTTTACCAGTGTTTACCAATATTATTAAAGTGAAGTCATTTGAAGAATAAGCCTGGAATGTTTCCATTTCTTTCCCTTACATAGAAAATTCAACAGCCACGGGAACTATTCTTGTGCATTTGTTACTTAAGTAGCCAGGGACCAATACTGTTTTAAATGAAGTTTTGTAATTGTTTCCTTGTATTTTTTAGTAAACCCAAGAGTACCCACTAGTTTAGCTAAGCGCACTGTCTTACTGGGACCAGGAGAGCTGGGTCCCTGAGACCAGGATGGCAGCAGGAAGTACTGGGTGGGCCAGTTAGGCATCACGGGACAGGCTGCTTGCCCTGTCCTGAATCGACCCTATTTGTATATTGCCTTGTAAAGGACCTGCCTGCCATATGGGGTCTTCAGTCCACCATGTGCTAATTGGGTCACTTTTAACAAGTCAGCTTCCAAACGAGTGTCCTTATCAGTAGACTAGGAACACCAACGGCTTCGAGGGTCATGAAGGTCAATGACAAAGTGAATTTAGCTGCCAAGCCACACCAAGCTATCTACAACTGTGCCCAGAATGAGCTTACCTTCTGCCTGAGGCTGTACCTGGCCAGGACTTGAAAGCTGGGGGAGTCTGCAAGAGGGTCACCCTCTATCCTAGTTCACGGAACAGCTATAGCTCCCCACCTGCGGCAGAAAGGTGAGGGGACCAAGTTGGCTCAGTCCAAGGTTGTCCGCCATGCATCCTCCTGTGCACTTGGCCTCCTGTCATACCCCCATGTCTTGCTTGCACCCCTGCCATTTCAACTCCTCCAGAATGACCATTCCTTAGTTCATCACTGCCCGGCACTTGAGGTCCAGGCAGCACAGCCAGATACCCCCAAGGTCTCCATGGAATAAGGGAGCTTATTCCATGTCCTGGAATAATTCCATGTGCTGGAAGCTGCTGCCCTGCTGTCCCCATTCACAGGTCCCGTGTGATGTCTTCTGGGACTCCCATTTACGACTTACATCCTGGGTGCTGGGCTCATGGACACCGGTTGGCTGGGTTATATCACAGATGCTATTGGCTGATTAAACTGCACTTGAGTCTGTAGCTGTTGGTACCATGAAGAAATCTATTTTTTAGCCCTGTCTGGTGTGGCTTAGTGGATTGAGCGCTGGGTTACAGGCCAGGTCTCCAGCAGGAGGCTTGTGAGAGGCAACTGATTGATATATCTCTTGCACATTGATGTTTCTCTCCCCTCTTTCTTCCTCCCTTCCCTCCTCTCTCAAAATAAATAAAGGGTTTTTTGAAATCCATTTTTTAGCCATAGTAACACCAATGGAATGGTATCAGTTTGATTTATTTTAATGTTGACTAAATAGCCACAGTGGAAAACTTTAATGTAAAGCTTCTATAGTGACAAGCAAGCACAGACCGCACGTGAGCCTGTGGTTCCCACTTCACGCATCTCAGCTCCCAGGTTTGTGGTCTTCTGACCTCTGACTCAGCAGTTCCCAGGTGGATGTGCTGCTCCTGTCCTAGAGGAGAGAAGGAAGGTCGAGGATGAGCAGGCTCACTCGGCTGGAGGAGTAAGTGGGCGAGATGGTCAGGGCTCAGGGTGACGGCACTGCCCGTGCCCTGATGCTCCCGCTGGTCTGGGCTGCACTAAAGGAAGCAGCCGGATGCTTAGAAGCAGTCACGCTACTTCCTTCCATTGGCAGGCTGTGGAAGGGCCACTTGGGGCAGGAGAGGGGACTGAGCAAGAATGCAGGTCTGCTCCTGTGTCCCCCCGATTCCTTGAGTACACATGTCCCTGAGCCTCAGTGTTCCCCCAGGTTCTCACCCCCTCCCAGGTGTCTGTGTTTGTGTGATGCCAGCTGGTTCACACGGCATCTCAGAGTAGTCATCTCAGGCCCACTGTCACTGGCCTCTGTGGCAGTGGCTCATGTTAGGGCCGGAATTAGATAAAAGTAGCCAAAAGGAACCCGAGGCAGGCTCCAGACTGTCCCAGCAAGGAAGATAGAAAGTACAAAGAGTGCTGAACAAGATAAACTGCCTTGTGCATGACCTTGTCTTTGCAGAAAAGTATCCATTGTTGCGAGCAGAGAACATAGCCATGTGTGTTCTCTCGAGATAGCCAATTGCTGACGGCTACATCTGCTTCTGTATTTGCTTGCTTGCTCACCCCAATAAAAACCCCAGGCTGTAAGCGCCAGGCGAGACTCTCATCTGCAGTCATCTTGGCACCGTGTCCTCAGACACCCCGAGAGTTCGCCCCTGCGCAGGTAAAGCTTTGAAACTTTGGCCAATAAAGTTCCATCTTAAACTCCTGAAAGCTCCCGACACTTTTTGCTCGCACTGGGGTATGTTACAGCTCACCTTAATGCTGATGCCGCGGGCAGCAAGGTCCTGGCGCAGGGCATCACATGCCTCCAACAGGGGCTTCCTCTCCAGGAGCAGCTGCTGCCGGGTTTCTCTGGTGGCCTCCCCTGTGGCCAGGGCGAACTGTCGGACCTTCAGCCGGAATCGGACCAGCTCCTCCACCACGCTGTGCAGAGTGGCTGAGCTGCTGTCCCCTGAAACAAACTACACCCAGGAGGAATGGCGTAACCAGCAAGATCCCCGCAGCAGCCAGGATGGCCATACCTGACGGGCCAGTGACTTCAGGGCTAAGCCCATCCAGCATGTGTCCTCCCCAGGGCGCTGCAGAGAACTCTCAGCCAGCGGCTCTCATGGGCCTTGGAAGAGAGGCTGTGAGGTTCCAAGCCATAGGCAAATCTCCACTTCCCTCTCCTGAATGTCACCCAGGCAGAGCTCAGGGCTCCCACTGCAAGGCGCCCACTGCAGGCCTCAGAGCAATCCAGGGGCGAGGCCTAGAGCTGGCTTTCCTCCCTCCAATCCCAGACTCTAACTTAGAGCTGGGAGCAGCTGCTTCACAGATGTGCTAACATCTAAAGATGTTCCATTACCACCTAGTTCAATAGGCAGGGCCTAGAACTCTAAGCCTTATGGACCAGTGACACCAAATCCATTCACTCTAACCGAATACTTAAAACAGTGCAGATATACCACCTGACACACACTGTTTTTGCTGGATGGTTGGAGACCGGCGGTCTCAGTGCACAGCTGGAGAAATGGGGTCTAAACTGCTCCGTGTTGCCGGAGGGCCTCTCCCTGCACACAACTTCTTCCTCCATAGTGGAGAGGGAGCCTAGTGGCTATTAGTGTTCGTGTGTGTAAAAGAAGAAACAACCCAACATCGTACTTTTGGGTCAAACTTCTTAAACCTCATATGGCCCTCAATTACTGCTCTGTATCATGCCAGGAGTAGGCCATTTCTCTGAGAAGCCTGATCAAGATCATTTGTGTTGTAAAAACGTGAGTCCAAAGTGGGTTCCGGTGTCATCCCTTGGGTGGGGGAGGCGAATGAGCTATTTCTGACAAGGGCCAGCCACAGCTTGGCCAGGTATGCCTTTTCTTACTCAGAACAGGTTCCAGAGAGTCTCGTGTGAAAATGAACACAGACTGCAAAAACTTGGGTCACCTCAGACTAGTTACCTTGTACAAACTAGCTGGCAGTCCCTGGACGGCCTAGGAAAGGACATTAAGCCTACTAAGTAATCGATGTCTAGCAATAAAACAAACTTGGAAATAAATCACCACAAAGACACTGCAATTTGGGTTGAGGTCAGAGGAATTCACTGTACTTAAGCCCCAGCTACAGGGAATGCTCCCTGTCATGGCACAGGCGCAGCCAGGAGACAGGCCCCCGTGACTCCCACCTCCAGCCAAGCCCCCCAAGTGGCAGCCTCCCCCAGGTGCCAGGCAGCTGAGCCGACACGGCCACCGCCCGCCTCGAAGCAGTGAGCAGCTGTTCCGTGCCAGCGCCTGATGGCAGCGGCAGAACCCGGCAGTGCTGTGAAGGGATCTGGGAGGAGTGGCTGATTCCAGTGCCCCTGTGATGGTCACTCCTATCTGCAGTCCAGACCTTTCCACAGAAACAACCTGTTCACATGCTGTGTTTTCTAAAAGCTATTTTAGCCCATTTCCTTTCCCATCCTCAACAGTCCTGATGCTGTTAGGTGTGGCAGAGCAGCGTGGGCCCTGTGGAGAAGAGGAGGGTGCAGAGCCCGTGGGGTGCCCGTGCAGAGGGCAGCCTGCTGAGCGGGCACAGCCTGAGGGGTGAAGAGGTGGTCCAGGCAGGGAGGGATGGGAGAGTCGGACTCCAGCGAGTGAGGAGGGCATCCCCGCAGTGGGAGACTGTATTGGGAGAGTAGCAGCTAAGGAAATACGTTCAGGACACTGGAAAGCAGGTTTCTCACTATCACAGAGGGAGTTACATGTGAAAAGGGAGGAAAGTGGAATGAACCGTGTGTTGAGGGACTGGAATTGGAGTGGTGGTGGTTGGCCCTGGGTGTCGGTCAGTGTAGTGACACAGGAACGAACCTGGACACCATGTGCACAGTGCGCACACTGCTCCCAGCTCTGCTCACCAGGGACTCTGAGCAGCTGCGGCCCAAGCACAGCACACACAGCACTCAGATCCTACCTGCTAAGAGCAGCCAGGCCCCTGGGGAAATGGCGGGGTCCTGGCTTGGTGCAGAGGAAGCACCACGAGTTCTGAAGTGGACCCTCCTGCCACAAAGGGCTCTTTAGGAGAATGCGGGAGCCCAAGGGTCGGGACTGGACCAATCTCTGTTGGTAGGAGACACACCGGGGGGCTTGGCTGGCAGCTTACTCTCAGGAAAAATGTCCTTACATTTAGTTTGTACCTTTTGAGATTCTTTGTACATAAAAGACATATGAACAAAACCCCAAATCTAGTGCGTACAGAACTGATGACCACTCTGCAGCTAAGATGTGCTGCTGCTTCTGTTACAGGTTGTTAATAAATAAGATACTGCTCTGGGCGTTAACCTTTTAAGGAACATAATGTATTTGAAGCACATAAGTAAATTTGCCATTATAATTATCCACTAAAAAGGGAGGGGGGGAACAGTTCTTATTATACTAGCGTGTAAATGTCCCACAGCTGGGGACTGGAAAGAGAAGGGTGTACCTGTCGTTCTGCCAGAGAAATTCCAACCGTCTCAAAAAATTGCTCAACGTAGGAGATGATGGCGCCGAACACGGCAGGACTCCTGGGGCCACGGGGCTCCTGTGACAGATTACCACAGAAGGCTCTTTAACAGCAAGGGACACTCTGTGGAACGGGACAGAGACCTCACAGGTCCCTTCCGCCTGTCGAGCCCCTGTGAGGGCGCTGGACTCCCTGGCAAACCAAACCACCACAGGGCAGGGGCTGAATCCTGCCCCTGAGTTCACTGACCTAGAATCTAGGGGTGGGTTATGGTCTGAGCACTGTGTCCCCCCAAACTCATACATTGAAAGTTAACCCCTAGCGTGACGGTGTTGGGAGATGGGGCCTTTGGGAGGTCACTGGGTCATGAGGGCGGAGCCTCACCGATGGGACTGACACCAAGGCCAGAGAAGGGCCGGGCTGAGGGGGCACAGTCAGGCTCCCAACACAGGGCTTCCTACGCTACTTCACGTTTTGGCAACAAACTCAGATTCCTCCGGTCGAACAGGAGGGTTACAAGCTCCTGTCCTGGCAAACATGTAATGCCAACTCCATGTGCCGGGCCCTCCCTGTGCCCCACTTCCACCCGTGTCTACTTCTCGGGCTCTGGGAAGTGGCTGTCTCTTTCGCAGGGCCAATGGGGCGGGCCACGCTCAGGGTGAAGCAGCTTCAGGTGCTTGAGGGAAGGTTGGTTAGGAGGGGCCTGGAAGCCGCCCTCTGTGGGGGATGAAGGTGCCTGAGGGGCTGGGAAAGTGGCATCCATTCCTTAGGAGGAAAACCACCCAAACAAAAACGCTACTTTGGGGCCAGGTCCTTGGAGTTACCTTAGCGACCACCTTCAGCTGTCTGTTCCCCTGGCGAATGAGATCCATGATGGCATCCACCGCCCTGGGTGTGTCAAAGTCATCTGCCAAGGCAGCCTTCACAGCAGTCTTGGTGCGGCTGAGCCTTGGACAGACGAGGGGAAACCAGCGCGTCCCTCACTCAGGCGCAGCACGCCTGTGCCCCTCCCGCGGCCTCGCTGTGGCCCTCCCTCTCCTTTCCTCCACCTCAGCCCCCTCCAGAGCAGTCTCCAGGGTGACCGTCCCCTCCCCTCTACTTCCCGGCCCACAGGGAAACTCAGGGGCCCTTGGCCTTCTCCTCCTCTTGCACGTCAGGCCCGGTGTCCTGCAGCCCTGTTACGTCCCTCAACCCTCCTCTCTCACATTCGCACCTGCACACCCACCACCCGCCACTGACCTCTCCCAGGCTTTATCTCCACAGCTAACTCCCTGATGTCCGTCT